AAATACAACTAGAATATGGAAATGTAAGTTAATGAGAAGGGGGATTTGTTTTTTTTTATTTTAGAAGTATTATATTACTAACATCTCTTTTCATTTTTAGGACATGACTTGGGCTTTGGACCTGAATTCTAAAATAAGAAGGCCAAATAAATTCCTTAAAATAACATTATTATTATTTATTTTATGACAAATTAATTTTATATTGTTTTTAGTAAATGGCTTTTTTTTTTTGAAATGATATTTATTTGCAATTTTTGCAATTTAAATAATGAAATATATTTGGCTTATTGGCTCAAGCCAATATTTTTTAGCATGACACAATTCATTTAAAGCTCAGAATGAGTCATAAAAATTTGTGGCTTGGCTTAGTATAATTTTCTGAGCCAAGCTCTCTGGCTCAGCACAATCTGACTCATGCAAAGATTTAGTAGCTATAATTCTGAATTTACAATTATGACTACACATTAATAGTATTTTTGTTATTAACTACCATGAAAATAATAATAATCATATAATGATGGGCAATAGTGTATACAGGATTTAGGTCAAAATAATATAAATGGTACAAATAATCAACATAAAATAGTAATCATAACTATAATCGTGAATCTATTATTAAGATATGAACAATAAAGATGTAAATAGTTTTATAACCTGCTTATAAATGGGTTTATAACTAAATTTTGTTTATAGAAATCAAACTTCTAATCACAAGTTATTAAACAGTTCTCTGAAACAGTTGAAGAGATTACACCTATCACTAAACATCCATACAAGTTTGTTATATACAGTAAAATTGCTTCTCAATTACCAAATGAAATTTCAGACAATGAGTTAATCGATATTGTTAGTCATATAAAAGATTCTTAGAGTTTTCTAATTTGCCAGATTTTACTTTCTCTGCTGGTAATACAAATCAACAAATATTTTTAGATGTGGTTGATTTATGTGTTCTTTCTTTATTTTCTTTCGTTTATATTTTTTTCACGAAATGAAAAATATTTTCTACACAAAATTTGTGGTTCGATTTTGAGCCAATCATATTTAAGAAGTTGAGGAAACAGATAATATAATATCATATACCCGGGGTACAGGCTAAGGATCCCCTTTTTGTTTTTGGATTATCAACTTATATTTGGATTTTAGACCACTACTTAATTTCTTTTCAGGCATATTAAAATTTTTTTTTTAATAAGATGCTTATTCGTTCCCAATTTGATTTCTGAATGGAATTAAAAAGTGTAAAAATCAAATTCAGGCAATATACATGGTTGTGATTTCGTATAACTTCTAACTCGTACAAAGAATTTAAAGGAGATCTTACTATTTCATATTGTGTATGAATCACAACCCTAAGTATAAGCAAGGGATTAGCAGGAAAATGAAAACCTTATATCATACTATTGTAAAGATAAGAATTTCTGTTTCCGAATTCCATCTAATACCGGTCATGAATTTGTCCCGATTTGTAAAAGCAAATCCTTCACCTATTAATTCAACCGTAATAGTTCATCAATTAGTTGTATACTCTAAACATAGTATAAATTTCCACTTTTTATCATTTTAATCGAATTTTTATGAGATCCAGTTTCTTAGAACATCGTTAAAATTATGTTTTAACTTCTGTAATAGGCTTAAATCATAACTAAAAAAAAGTCATACTCATAGACTGTTACAGATTCTAAATCAATTTTGTATTTTTTTTTTTTTTTCATATTCGGTTTCAGAAATGGATTATCTCTTGATTTGAAATTTGAAATTTGATTATAAAATGGGGCACTTGGCCAAATCCAAATTTCTGTTGCGTGAACCTGAATGTAAGAAAATTAATTTTACTTGTTCTGTTTCTTTACTCTTTATGTCAAACGTCTGTTATTATGGTAAGGTTTTAACTATCTAAACATATCAGTTTATAAACATATTCCGATTTCTAAAAAGCAAATACAGTACTAAATCATATTCTTCGTAATAGTGAAACTTCCAAAGTAAGTAGTTCTCTTTTAAAAAAAGGTATTGCAGGTTTTCCACATAGCGTAAGATGTTGAACTTTTTGTCACTAAAATATGTTTTTAATTCTCTAGGACGTTAAAAAGGGAACAAAAAAGTAATTAGGATATGTGAATAGACTGATATTACTTTTGATTTAATTTGGAATTTGTAGATAAAGTGTACAAAAAATCGAATCCAAAAAATATCTGATCTCGAGTAAAAGTTTTTAATCGAGAGTTAAACATCTTACTGGTGTTAGAGTGGTGTTAGACATATATTCTTATTTCCTGGATTCCTGAAACTTTCAAGGGAGGTGATTCTCTGAAAGAGAACGATTCCTGAAGGGAGTAACTAGTATTTCAGTCTTCACGACTAAGATTTATTTTTATAAATTAAGACATTGCTCATGACTGATATCATTTGAACATTATAGAAATTTAGATTTCAGATTACAGTTGCAATTGCATAATACAAATTATTTTTATTGTCTGCTTATTAACGTTCTTAACTGACCAAATAGTCACGAGTGATACTATTGAATGAATTATAAAAACCAAAACGTTTTAGATGTATATAATTAATTATTTAATATTTCGATTTGAGTTAAAAAAAGAAAAAAACTCAAAAGTTTTATCAGTTTTAATAATAAAATATTTCATTCATCAATATATAAATATCTCACAATTACTTTTTTTTTTTTGTTACCTTTTTAACGTATTACAGAAAGATTATTTTAAAATCACAAAAAGTGAACCATCTGTTATGTGTGTAGAGAAAACTTGGAATTCAATTATCTTTAACAGTTTGAATAAAGAGTGATAAAGCATATTTTGTTGAAATCTTCAAATCTAGTTTTTTTCAATATTTGCTATTCAATTTCAATGTTCTTTTCCAAGTTTTACCAAATTAAAGTTCATATTGTAGAAATTTGAGATTCTACTCCTTCGTGAGGTTGATTATCATCAAGATGTCGATGTATAAAAAAAAAAGATTTATACTGAGATTTTTTCTCACAAAAAAATATTAGTAGATGTCATACATATTTTAGTATTAGAATATGTCTTAAAAAATTATCTGAAAACAATTTTACTTCGTTGAAATGGAAAGATTTAAATGTCATTAGATAATTGGAATTTTTACACTCAAAAAAAAAGTGATTTAGTAAAAGAATAGTTATTTTTTTTTTTTTTTGTTTTCACCATCTTAATCATCTTATACACTTAAAAATATACTAGCGAATAATGGAAAGTTTATTATTAGAATTTCTAAAAAGTTTGTAAAAGTTACAATAAATTCATTATAAAAGATACATATGAAAAATATGAAAAGTTAATATATTTTATGAACAGGAAAGGACGATGCCCACTTGAAATTTAACGTCTAAACTATAAATGTTAGACTTTTAATTCTGAGACTTTAAAGCACTGTGGTTCAGTCGGCATTTCAATCATACTTTTTATATTAGTGAGAAAATCAATTGATGGTAATCCCAAGAATATTAACAAATAACAACTTTATTAAGAATATTAGGATGATGAACTTAAATTTTATCGTTATATACTTTTTCTTGAATTAGTAAGTCAATTATATATTGAGGATTTTCCTCATCGCAACTTACTTTTATGAAAATTAATTGGAACATTAATTATATGACTACTTAAAACATTTCTGGACGTCTAAATTCAAGAAATAAATTTAATTTATACGAATTTCCGCTATCTTGTCTAGCAAAATCCGCTATTGCATTGTTAATACAATACTTTGAAGGTGATGCTATTGTATGTTTATTGTCCAAGAACCAATATACCGAAAGAGCATCAGAAAAGAATTAATAATGTTAGCGAAGGGTTAAAACTTTAAATGTTTATGACATTGATGAAATATGTTATTAATTAATAATATTTGCTTATTTGTATTGTTTAATAAAATAATTTTATAAATATTTAACTTTTTTAGCCTTTGTCAATTAAAGTAACTTATCAGATTATATAAGATGCTTTGGTTGATAACAGTAATGAATTGTCAATACAAGTTTTAGTCCTTTTGGAGAAAATAATTAGTAAGTTTTAAACATTTGTCACTTGAATTTATGTTTCTTAATTTATCAATAATTAATTTTATTATTTTTGAGTTGCAAATTCCCAATAATTCAACACGGAAATTAATTGACACGACAATAAATAACTTTAAATTATTGTTCGGCAAATATTTTATCCTCGCTTCTTCGACGTACTCAAACAGTTGCGGAACTTGAGGTATCAAGTGAAAAATCTTTATTAAAATCATCCACCACTAGTTCTGAAACTAAACCAGCATCTCTGGTTATGTAAGCTGTATCATTTGTTCATAATAAAAAAAAACCCAATAAATAAAAAATATACCATTATTAAAACAAAATAAATTCAACGCAATTTACTTTTTTGTTCCAGTAAAAGGACAAAGTGGAATTCATAAACCATTTTATCAGAATTTTAATTAAAAAAAAAACTGATATCAATAAAAAAAAACCATTTTTGGCCTCAAAAAAATATAAGCCACATCAAAAAGTGTCGAAAATAAGCCCTCAAATCAACAGGCTTTGCTTACGAATTCTAATTATGTAAGCTTATACAAGCAAAATTAAAGTTCGGAATTGCTGTAACAATATATCAAAATTTGGTAATCAATTTCCTAATATCAAAATTTACACAAGCTTACATAATCAGAAAAAAAAATAAAATAACTCAACGGTATACCGTAAAATAAAATGCAATCAAAAAGTGAAGGTGATAAGTAAGTATTATTTATAATATTAATTATGAATTTTTAAACATAACGCCTTTTTATTTCAATATATATCATATATAATATAAAATATGTATTTCTAATATGTATTATCTTAGAAAGTGTGTTTTCTGTGATGAACACAATGATTATTTCACTGAAGATAATTTAGTTTCATTATTGGTCCGACTGTTCTGTATTGATCAACTGTCGTTTATGTAATATGGTAATAACTAATAATTTATTTTATAGGTTCTTGAAAATTTTCCACTCTTGATAACCATATGTTGAATGATTATGAACGTAGTAAATTTGTTTAACAATGTCTTTGCTGTCGAATACCTTGAACATATGGGAAAACAATCTTGTATGGCTATTCAAAATGACGCTATTCATTATCCTCTTTGTAAAATCATTGTTGAGCCTGCAACAGAACAAGGTTGGAAATCGCATTTGATAACCGAATGCACAAAGAATCGTAGAAATTCAAGATTTATATTAATTGCATTTGGCTCATATTTGGTGCCCTAATAATTATCTATTTTTTTTTTAAAAAATGTAAATGTATTTTTAAATAAATTAAATAATATATCGATCTTGGTTGAATTGATTGTTATGTATCCGTCAATTTTTTTTTTTTTCTGAATCATAAAATTCCAATCATGCTTTAAAGGTTATCTACCAGGAATTTAATATATATTTATATAAAAAATTTAATTTTCATATGTCACAATCATTTTAAGGAAAAATCATTGATTTAAATTTTTATTATTCTTAAATTGAAATTATCAATTCAGTAATTAAAAGGGTGTTATACCAAATTTATTTTAGTATATACTTCATATAAAAAAATTGTTTATGTATTATTTTACTACAATTATTTAAAAATTAAAAATTGTTGAAATACTTTTTAACATAAAATTTTTTTTTTTATTAATCATCAATTCAATGCTGTAAGAATTTTACCATTCAGAATTTTAAATATATTCATATAGAAATTTTGCACTTTTTTGATTTTTTTTTATTCACTATAATAAAAAATTTTTAAAATCCATTCGTAATTGCCTATATGCAAATAAAAAATTCTGGTTGGTCTATATTAGTAGCTGTGATAAATCATACCAGTAAAGTTTAACAAATTAATCTGGGATAAAATATGGAATTACCAATTTCACTCCCAGATTTTATATCCATATTTATCCTGGACAAATCTAGGGTTTAATCCCAGTTTTCTGGTCAGAATTACAGGCCATAGATCTGGTTAAAATATGGATAAATCTGGATGGATTATAGGTTAATTCATGGTGAAATGGAAAAGACCATATTTTTATTCCAGATTTATCCATATTCACAGTTTAGTTTGATATTGTGATTTATTTACTCTAGTATTCTTACCATCACAAGAAATCCAAAGTACCTTTTATATATTAAAACATTTGATGTCAACATCTCTAAAATGGTCGGTCAGCTCCTTTGTTTCACACCACAGTTCTGGTCAAATATTGCAGAAGCTTGGCGTCGTCAGTGGAAATTTGGGTTGGCAAAAGTCATGTAGGTGTTATTCAATGAATCACTCATTTCAGAAAGAACAACAAATGTTGATTTTCAAGTTAATGTATTGTATATTTTTTGATTATTAATTCATGATCCATCTCTGAACCAGTAAAAACTATTAATACATTTTGGGAATTATTTTTGCAAATTAATTATCCCTAAGTTAATTTGGCTCAGAATTTTTTTTTTTAGAATAACGTTCCGTCGTTCCGAGGTAATTTTGATCTACATATACTTGCCATTTAAAGCTAAGATGTTATGCAAATTGGTGATATTGCCTAAAAGGTAACTCGCCAAATTTGTATTACAAGTCGGCTGAAAAATAGTGTAACCAATTAAGAAAATTAAGGTTTTATATTGTACGATTAGTTAAAACTTTTTTTTCTTTAGTGACACTGGATTTTGGTATTTTGGCCTTCAAAAACACTATATTATTCAATTATAAGAAGTATAACAATCATTTTTTTTTTATTAAAATATTATTTATACGCTGGTAGATAGTTTGTTTTAAAAGAAAAAAAAAAATATTAAAATTATTCATTTCTATCAATCAAAGATTGTCTAGCTTATTATGTCATATTTTGCTTATATTGAGTGACATATCCAATTTTGTATGGTGGATACTTGGAATGTCAGTTTCTTCTAAACTGCCTTTCTCTATAATTTGGTAAGTTCATATCACATTTCCTGCATGCTATATCTATTGATTTTATCTAATTCCCTGCTAATTAATTTGTAAAAATAATTCCCTGAAATGTATAGTAGATTTTACTGGTTTGGAAACGGATCACGAATTTATTACTATATTTATACAACGATTTTTTTTTTTTTAATAAAAAAATAAAAGCAAATTAATATGATTGATTTACTACTTAAAAAACTTACAGAAAAATCCCGCAATTGGACCAGCGGAAATTCTTATGTAGATGAATTTATTAAATACACTCAATTAACTGTCAATAAGAATATAGGCTATCTCGAATGGATTGATTTTAACAAACTTTATTTAGTAAAAAATACTAATAAACGAGGTGCTTTCGGCTCAATATATACTGCCATATGGATGAAAGGTCCATGGTGGAGTTCGAAGCTTCCGATTAGTGTTACATTGGAACGTTTAGATAATTTTCATAATATTACTCAAGAACATATATATCATGTAAGTACTCAAACAGTACACAGTCTTGTTATTAGTTAATTTATCCGAAAGTATTTATCTATAATCTATAGAATTTTTCTGTTAGATACAATACATTTCAAATATAGTAAAGTGTTTGTTATAAAATACGTCCTTATTTTTTATTTTATCTAACAAAAATTTTTTTTTTTTTTGAAGTTATATATATACTACCATAACTATTTACAAAGTGGAGTAACAGATTGGTTTGGTATGACCAAAGCTCCGTCATGTTATATGTTCGTTTTAAGATATAAGGATGAAGGTTATTCACTAGTAGAGAGTAAGTTAATTATTTATTTTGATTATTACATATTTATATAATATTTACACTAATTAAATTCAATTACTATTTAATAATATAGATGGTTAGCTATTAGTTTAATTCTATTATTAGTACATATTTAAGTACATTTATATAGCATCTAAATATAATTTAAACTAACTAAATTCTTTATTTAAAAAATTATTCAATAATATAGGGAGTAAGTTATTCATTTAATTTTGTTATTATATATTTGTATTAATTGCATAGTACTCACATATAATTTAAATTAACTAATTTCTTATTAAAAAATTATTTAATAATATAGAATGTAAGCTATTTATTTAATTCTGTTTATATAATATTTACATCTAATTTTAACTAACTAAATTCATTATTTTAAAAATTATTTTGTAATTTCTTTTAGTTGGTAAATTATAATAATTTATATAACGATAATATTTACATATAATTTAACACTAAATTCATTATTTAAAAAACTATTTTATTAATATAGTTTGTAAGTTATTTATTTAATTTTATTATTACATATTTATATTATATTTGCATATAATTTAAACTGACTAAATTCTTTATTTAAAAAATTATTTAATAATATAGGGAGTAAGTTATTTATTTATTCTTATTATTACAATATGTGATAATTTCATATAGATTAAACTAACTAAATTCTTTATTTAAAAAATCATTTAATAATATAGGAAGTAAGCTATTCATTTAATTCAATTATTACATATTTATATAATATTTCATTTAACTTAAGCTGACTAAATTCTTTACCTAAATAATTATTTAATATATAGGAAGTAAGTTATTCATATTACGTAATATTTACCTATAATTTAAGCTAACTAAATTCTTTATTTAATAATATAGAGAGTGAGTTATTCAATTATTATATATTTATATATATAATATTCACATGTTTTAAACTAACTAAATTCTTTATTTAAAAAATTATTTCATAACATAGATAGTAAGTTATTCATTTATTTTTACTATTATAAATATATATAATATTTGGGTATAATTTAAACTAACTAAATTCAATTATTTATTAATATAGATGGTTAGCTATTTATTTAATTCTATCATTATTACATATTTATATAATATCTGCATTCAATTTATTTTATTTAAACTACTACTAAATTCTTTATTTGAAACATTATTTTGTAATTTCTTTTTAGTTGGTAAGTTTATTTAATTCTGTTATTGCATCTTTTTGTACACGGGTGTTCCATGGGTTTCCAAAAAAGGTAAACTTTATACCGATCATTCAATGTTGACCGGAAAAAAGATTTGTTAAATAAGACAAAAATGACATCCAAACCATCTTCGATACTAAGTAAACTTGCAGTACAGACAAAAATGTTGTTAAAAGTCATGTGATAAGTATTTAAACACCATGTATATTAAGAAATTTTCTTACATAATAATTACATATAATTTAAACTAACTAAATTCTTTATTTAAAAATTATGAAGTATTCAAAGAATACAAAAGAGTAGCTATAAAAGGTCCGATTTATCTTTACCAAGAAACAGTAACTAGAAAGAATAAAGTCAAAGCATTTAAATTATACAAAAAACCAGCTAAGGCTTATCAGAATGAAAAATGCAAAAAATGTAGTATGCAGTATACAAATATAACATATAAATGGTGTAAATCATGTCAAATAGATTATATTAAAAATAATTTTACGAACTGGACAAGTGGAAATGAAAAATTTGATGATTTGATTCAAAAAATGCAATTACAGGTTAATAATCATAAGTATATTATAATTGAATGGATACCATTTGATCAATTTAAGTATATTAAAGAAATAAGGGAAGTTGATTTTGCCAGAATTTATTCAGCAGTATGGAAAGATGGTCCATTAAATTATAACTATAATAAAATGAAATTTGAAAGAATACCTGATAGGAATGTTTCTTTAAAATATTTACAAATTACTAGTTCTAATGAATGTTTAACTAAGGTATAAATATTTTTTTATAAAATCGCAAAATATTTTTGAATACTAAAATGGTTTCTTTTTATATAAATAGGTTAAAGCATATTTAACAATTATTGATTTTAACTATAAAATATATGGAATATCACAAAACCCAGATACAAGAAACTATATTATGGTATTTAAAAATGGATATTGTGTCAAATGTGGAGAAAAATATACAAAAGAAAAGTACAAATGGTGTAAATCTTGTCAAATTAACTGTTTAAAAAACAATTTTACAAACTGGACAAGTGAAAATAAAAAAATTGATGATTTTATTCAAGAAGTACAATTACAAATTAATGATTATAATGATGTTATATTTGAATGGGTACCATATAATCAATTCGAAAATATCAAAAAAATTGGTAAAGGAAATTTTACAATAACAGTATTTTCAGCTATATGGAAAAGTGGACCGTTAAATTATAATTATAGTAAAATGAAATTAAAGAAAATACCTAATAGAAATGTTTCTTTAAAACATTTGCATAATACTAATATTAATGAATTTTTAACTAAGGTATGGTATTTATGAATACAATTAAATGCAAAATATTATAATAATTCTTTTTATACATAATTATTAGGTTAAAACATATCTAACAAACACTGATAATTGTAAAATGTATGGAATATCTCAACACCCGGATACAAAAAATTTTATCATAGTACTTCAAGATAAATATTACATAGAATATAATAAAAATTATTGTGAAAGATGTAATGATATATATACAAATATAAAATATAAATGGTGTAGCCCATGCCAGACAAATAATTTAAAATTAAATTTTAGTGGAAATAAGATAATCAATGATTTAATTTTAGAAATGCAATTAAAAATCAATAGTCCATTTGATAGAGTATTTGAATGGATACCATGCAATCAGTTTAATGATATTAAAGAAATCGGAAAAGATGATTATGATATAGTATATTCTGCTATATGGAAAGATGGCCCATTATATTATAATGGTAAAAAATGGACAAGAAAATCGAATACAAAAGTTGCTTTAAAATGCCTATATAACTTACAGAATAATATTAATGAATTTTTAAATAAGGTATATTACTTTTTTATAAATTTAATTCATATATTAGTTAATAATATCTATTCTTTATAAATAGGTTAGAATACATTCAACAAGCACTCAAATATATGGATTATCTCAAAATTCAAGTACTGATGATTTTATTATAATCTTTGAAAGTAAATATTGTGAAGAATATAGTAAGAGATGTTGTGAAAAATGCATGGAAAAATATACAAATATAATGTATAAATGGTGTAAGCCTGTCATATCAATTGCCTAAAAAAAAATTTTGAAACCTGGACTAGTGGTAATAAAAAAATTGATGATTTTATTCAAAAAATGCAATTAGAAATTGATAACTTACAGGACATGATATTTGAATGGATACCATACAACCAGTTCTATAAAATTAAAAATATGGGTAGTACTAGTGGAGATAATACTGCTACAATATATTCAGCAATATGGAAAAATGGACCATTGTATTACAATCATAGTAAAAATGAATATATAAGAAAGTTGAATAAAAAAATTACTTTGAAATGCTTACATAACTCACGAAGTACAATCAATGAATTTATAAATAAGGTATGAGTAAGTGAACTTTGTAAATTTAATTTATATATACATTTTTTAATATACAGATTTTTTTTTTTTGTATATTGCTAGGTTAATAGTTTTTTAACAAATAAGGATAATATTATCTTTAAAACATATGGAATATCTCAAAATCCAGATACAGGAAATTATATCATTGTCCTCCAAGATAAATATTATAAAGAATATGGCAAAAGCTATTGCAAACAGTGTATTGGAAAATATACAGATATAGAAAATAAATGGTGTAAGCCATGTCAAATAAATTATTTAAAAAATAATTTTATATATTGGACCAGTAAAAATAGGAAAATTGATGATTTTATTCAAGAAATACAATTAAAAATTAATGATTGGGATGATATAATATTTGAGTGGATTCCATATAATCAGTTTAACGATATCAATGAAATATGTAAAAGTAGTTACTTTACAGTATATTCAGCAATATGGAAAGATGGTCCATTATGTTATGATAATAATAAAATGGAATTAAAAAGAGCATCAGAAAAAATGGTTACCTTAAAATGTTTGCATTATAATATATACAATTTACAAAATATCATCAACAAATTTTTAAATAAGGTATGAAGTCCTTTAGCAAACCTAATTTAAAAACTTTTTTTAATGATCTTTTATATTTAAATAGGTTAATGCATATGCTGGTAATAGTAAAATATATGGCATGTCTCAAAATCCAATTACAAAAGATTATATAATGATTCTCCAAGAAAAGTATTGTACAGAATATGGTACAATATATTGTGAAGAATGTGATGAAAAATATACAAATGCAAAATATAAATGGTGTAAATTGTGCCAAATAAATAATTTCAAAAAAAATTTTATGGATTGGACCAATGGAAATGAACAAATTAATGATTGTGTTCAAAAAATGCAATTAAAAATCAATAGTTGGAATGATACAGTATTTGAGTGGATACCATACAGTAAGTTTAAAGATGTTAAAGAAATTGGTAAAAACAGTTATTCTTCAGTGTATTCAGCGATATGGAAGGGTGGTCCATTATATTATGATCACAATAGTAAGAAGTGGATAAGAAAAGCAGATGAAAATGTTGTTTTAAAATGCTTAATTACTAATGAATTTTTGAATATGGTATGTAACTTAAAAATTTTATCTAAAATATTCTAATTTTATGTTAAATTTTTTTGTATTCAATAGGACAAAGCATACTCAACAGATAATGATAAAATGCTTTTTAAAGTATATGGAATATCTCAAAATCCGCAAACAAAAGATTATATTATAGTTCTTCATTATAATAGGATAACTGAAATTTATGAAAGATATGTTACAAATTTGTTTTACAATTTGCCAACTAATGAAAAAATCATAGATTTTATCCATAATGTAGTATTTGAATGGATATCATACAATCAATTTGATGAAATTGAAGAAATATGCAAAGATGGCTTTGATATAGTAAATTCAGCTATATGGGAAGATGGTCTATTATATTTTGATGATAATAAAAAGAAATGGACAAGAAAATCAAATATTGAAGTTACTTTGAAATACATCAGCAAGTTTTAAAAGTGTTAGTATACATGTTGATCAATAATAACTAGTTATTTAACGTGATTTCCAACACATAATGTTAATATGTGTCACAGGAAATTTTTTTATTTTTTTATCTATTTTTATCTTTTATTTTATTTTTTATTTTATTTTTAGTTATATTACATATAGTTATTTTTAGTTATTTTAGTTATTTTTAGTTACTATTTAGTGATTAAATAAAAAATGGAAGCTTAGCGGTGGGAAAGTGGCTAATACAGGTGGCTATATAGACAAATGTGACCAGATTGCTACAATTGGCTGGGAGGTGATATTGACCGGGTGGCAATTCTGTTTGTGAGACAGATTTGCACCAGATTTTTAATGATATAAAAAGGACCATTGTTGGAGGTGGAGTAGTTTAGTTATAAGTTCATGTAGTTTTATAACATTAAAAATTAGATAGCTGGATATTACTGAAGTGCCGATAGAGGAAGTAATATCATATTTGTTTATTAACAAATAAACCTGCCAATATGTTTTCATATTACTTATATGCGTTTTATCAACTTTTGACATACTGTTTATTATTATAGTTCCTTGTTGTTCTTTACAGAAACTTCAAGATCGTAGCGATGGCTTAATGCGCAGTAACTGCGTTATGACTACGAACTAAGTCCCTCAGATACTTATAGAAAATGGAAACGCAGTGGGTGTGACGGTTGTGACAAAAAAAAGTCACGTGAATTTTCGTGACATTTTTTGAAGGGTATGCAGGGGAAATCCTGCGTTATAAATACATAGTGACCACATTATGTAATCGTAAAGAAATTACATATATGCAGTTACTGCGCATTAAGCCATCGCTACGATATTGAAGTTTCTGTAAAGTTTATTATTGTTTATTATCATTGTCTTTTATTATCAACTTGTTAATTATTCGTTATACATCATTAATTATTTTATACTACATTGTATTACTAATTGTTTTTAAACACACATCTATCACATCACTTATTATCGTTCACAAATTACAATCATTTATTATCATTTATCCGTATATCATTAAATAAATTTATATATATTACAAAGTTTAAAGAATCATACTATTAAAATGGTAATTATAAAAATATAAAGATCTTAAATATACTCCAATCTTTTTATTACTATTTGATTCAGCAAAGAATTGAAGACTAATAAAATTTTACGGAATTAATTAAACTTGCATTAATAGCAGCCGGATTGTTAATCATAAATCTTTCATCTCCCATCACTTCTTTTCGTCTCCCATCTCTCCTTTTTGTCTTCCATCACTCCTTTTCGTCTCCCATCACTTCTTTTCTTCTCCATCACTCCTCTTCATCTACCATCATGCCATATTTCTCCTTTTTGTTTCCTATCACTTCTCACTACTCTTTTTTGCTCCCTTTCATCTTCTATTACTTTCCATTACTTCATTGTTATTTCATTTTTTTATTATCATCTTCTTGAACATATTAATTTACTATCTTTTTATTTATTGCTATTGTTTCTTCTATTTGTATCACTACTTCATTAAAAGTATGGTAATTTTTTTCTTTAAAATCGTTATTTTGAATAAATATGTTTGCAAAAAATTTTTTAAAATATCTTGCGATAAAATTTTAAGTTTAGCTGATCAAAAATTAGCTAAGTTTAAAAAAATCAGCGATCAGCCAATTAATAAATTTACTCTATATATTGTACATCATGTGACATATTTGGGAAAAGGCGACAATTGCCCAGGCCACATTTAGCAATTCCTTAAATTTTTACTATTTTACTATTTTAACTTATGATAAACCGAAATCTGCCATTTCTCTATACTTAATTTACTCATCATAAATAAAAAAAATCATTTGTTTATTCATTTTATTTATTTTTAACGAAGCTTATTTATAAAGGAGAGATCAACAATTTGTATATTTATAAATCGAAGTCATTTTTTTTTTTACAATAACTTTCACTTAAAAGATCTTTTAAAAGAATGTCAAACTCCCCCATGAAAATGACCTCTTGTTTATAGGTACAGTATAATCGTACTATAAATATATCGTCGATCATTTTGTACATCATTTTCTTTGCTACGCCAATCTAATTCCTAATAAATGAATTTCTGTAATACAAACATCTTCTACTATACTATTTATTTTGGTTATATATTTCCTTTTTTACCCTTATTAAAAAGAATTTAAATAAACGCCCAATATTTTTACAAATAATTTTTTACTGAAATTTTTAATTATAAAAAAAATGAGTAAAGATAATTTATAAAGAAAATGAAAATCAATTAGAATCCGAACTTGATAAATTAAATCTCTGACAATGATTCAAGTTCAGTAAATATCAACCATAAATATTGTTATAGGCCAGGTTACAAACCATGGTGTAAAGAATGTGTTCCTCGTTGCATAATTTAAGGATGGACCAGTGAAAATCACGATATTGATCAATTTATCAAGGATACGATTTATAAGGCAAAGATGAGATATATTGATAATGATGAAGTTTGTTATCCATTATTTCTTGAATGAATACCATTTGATAGATTTGAAGATATAAAACAAATTGGGGAAGGTGGATTTGCTAAAGTATATTCTGCAACATGGGTTGATGGTGAAACGAAATATGAAAGACAAGATGATGGAATTTGGAAAAAAAAAGAATCCAGCCCAATGAAAGTTGCCTTGAAAAGGTTAAATGATTCGCAGAATATATCAGTTGAATATTTAAATGAGGTATATTTTATATTCAAATTTACAACTGAATATGTAATTTTGTTATGTTAACTAATATATGTTTAAACTATTTGTCAAGATTCACAATTACTTGATTCAGAGGTTTCTAGCTCATTGCAATTATCAAAAGGTATTTGGTTTAATTTATCATACATTGTTATAATTTTATGTATGTAATATTAATTTTTAATTTATTTAATACAGTGAAATCGGATATGTACTTATTATTTTCTTTGAAAATAGGAATATTAATTTATTCATAGTTTATATTGTTAAATTGATTTGATAATTTCTTCATTATTGATAAATAATGGGTAATTAGTGAATATTAATATACATTTTTATCTATTATTGGTGATATTGCAAATTAACAAAATATAGAATATAACGAAAAAAAATTTTATTATACTTATTTCCAAATTAAACTTAACAATAATTCATTTTGTAATAGCAATAAATTTTAGTACTTAATATATTTGCTAGATGATTTTCGTATTATCATTAGATTTCTTTATCTGTTTCCGCAAATAATTCATATGTACAGTATATCAGATATTGTATAAGTTAATTAGAATTAAGAACAATAAACATATTTTATCAAATTTAATCAAATAATATATAATTGGAATATATCTTCAGAACAGAGTAAGAGTAAAATCATCAATATTATATTACGAATGAGATAAAGCAATAAATTACTCCTAATATAAAATAAATTTCTAATTATACATAAAGTACTAATGTTCGCTAACCTTAAGAAGTCATTTCAATATTTTTATTGATGCACTGCAGTTTAATAAAGGATAAATTTATAAGTACAAAATTATAATAAACCTTTGATTATGAAATTTTACTTACAATTAATAATTTCGTAATAATATACAACACGTTATACAAAATATACAAAGAACCTATGAGCCTATAAATGTTAATAATTTAATATAATAGAAAATTGTTATAATTTAAAAATAATCTTTTAATATTATTTATCCAGATTTTCATAAAATTAGACATATAACATTTGGAACTAAATAAAAAATTTTGAATTTGTAATTTTTCATGATTATATTCATTATTACTTCTTTCCTTTACAGTTTTTACATATATATGTATGTTAAAGAATCCTATGATACCTTGCGTTTATTAAATTATTATTTCAAATTTTTTCTTGATGGGAAAAAAACTTTTTTTTCCCGAAATGCATAATTATTAACGGGACGACCGGGACGTGAACGGTGAACGTGTCACAAGAATTTAATTGACTGCGTGACTAGATTTTAAAAATTGTCATTATTTAAATCACGTATATTTATTATTTATAATGTCAGATCAATAATCTTACATTGTTTTTCACATATCATGTATCTCAGATTCTTGAAAACAAAGAAAAAAGGTAATAAAAACGACCAGATGTGAAATTAAAAAGGAGGAAAGAATAAAAAGGAGTAAAACAACTCAGAGAAAAAAAGGTGATAGTGGTATGGTATAAAGAAAAGAAATTAAACCACCCACAAAAATAATGAGATCGTATAGACAAAGGCATTATAAGGAACGTGATGAGAGGTCCAAAAGTACTAAGAAAATTTTTTAATATGTTTGAGCAGTTATTCTTTAAACGGGTTAATTGCTCTAAGAAGCTCTAGTCTCATTGAGCTGAATAGTTTTTTATAGCTACAGAAATTATGAATGAAATTTTTTACAAGGTATCAAAAAATAAATCTTTAAAATTCTGCATACTGACTTCTCATAATTATGGCCTACCTTTTGAAGCTTTTTGAAATTTAAAATTTAATGAAAATATCAAAAAAAAAATTTTAATATTATTTTAAAAGTAACTAAAGACTACGAGACAATTTAAAAAGAACAAAAATTTATGGAAAAAAAACTCTCATATCATCAAATTTATCAATACTACTTGCACTAATAGTATTACTTGAAGAACTTCGTATTCTATAAAAACTTTCCCTAGCTTCATGATTTCCCTGTTTAGCAGATTTATTATACCAATACATTGCTTTAAATGTGTCAAATAATTTGTCATTTTCACATATAAATCCAAGATTGTATTGAGCTACGCTAAGTCCATCATATCCATCTCCTGCTTTCTCATAGAAATTATAAGCCATTTTCTTGTTAACTTTGGTCGCAATTCCTAAATAATAAAAATCTCCCAACACAAGAAAAGAATTGGGATGATTTTGATTATTTAGCAGCCAGTCAAAAATTTCTTTTGAAGTCACATAATGATCTTTAAGATAATCAAGAACTTTCTGTTTTTTATTTTCATCATATATCTTATAAGGAAGAGTAGCTATTCCTTGAACTATATCATATATCTTATAAGGAGAAGCAGCTATTCTTTCAACCATATCTTTCTTTAAATTATTATGTAATGAATGTGATGAATTACTAATAGGTGTCCAATGTTTTGTGGTGTTATTACTAATTAGTACTTTTAATCTAGAAACTACAACTTGGATTGTTGGACGATCATCTGGTTCATGTTTCCAACAATCTATGAAATTTTAATTCGTTAACAATACTAGCAATGTGATTAATATTACTGCAAATCTTAACTTTTGAATATATTTACCAGTATAAATATTTTCATAGTCCTCAGGTGTATTTGGGATAGGGACTTCTCTAAGACCTTTCGGAATATTTACAATTAAAAAATACTTGCTTTTACTCTCGAAAGGTAGCCGATCGCTTGATATCTCCCATAGAAGTACGCCAATACTATAAATATCGCTCTTCTCATTTAAGGAGTATTTATTACCCGTGAATTTTTTTGGATCAACATACTGAACTACGCCGGCTGATGATACTGATTCTTTAATCCCATAATCAGCCAATTTGATAGTACTTTGATGGACGAACACATTTTTGGAGTTCTATTATCATCATTATTTATATAATTAATTAAATTATAATTTCATATTTGTAAATATATTATAATATACAATTTAATATAGATAGATTACCAAGTCACGATGAATAATATTCTCCTCATGTAAATGTAATACTGCGCAAGCTAATTGATGCGCCATTTTAAATTTATTATTCCATGTGAGTTTTTTAAAATTTCCCTTTAGATATTCTCGAAGTGTACCACTGTCGGCATATTCCATTATCAGCATATATATCGTTGAACTATTATTTTGAATTACTTATAAAAAAAAATTGTTTAATTTATTTAGATTATTACAAGCAAGAAATATCAAAATTATTATACCTGTTTTTTTTTTTTTTTTTTTTTTNTTTTTTTTTTTTTAATAGTAACGCATTTTATTAATTATTTAAATATTATACCTGTTGTAATGCCATAAAATTTAATAATATTATCATGATTAAATATTTCGCGTTGGATTTTAAGCTAAACGATAGATTTTTTTAATTAGAAATGTATTTATAATAAAAACGTAAACATATATTATAATGTAATCACCCCATAGACAATTTTTTTAGCCGTGAAGTCGTCAAGAGATTTTAGTACCAAAATATTATGAGAACTTTTCCAGTTTGTTCGATAAACCTTTCTGCCAATTACTTTTAAGTTAGAAAAGTTTTTAAAATCGTAATGTTTAATATTCTTTTTTGAAATAGCATCTTCAATCCAATTTATCCACTCTGGTATTTAAATAAAGAATCCAATTAGTTTTTTTATATGTATATACAAAATAAACATAACAGAATTAAATAACTTACCTTCTATAATATCATTAGTTATTAAATAGTTACGAAAATAAAGGATTTAATTATTTTAATTACGCAAAAATACAGTTCATATTATTTATTTACCTTTATATTTTTCGGTACTTCTCGAAACTAATTTTTCAAATAAAGAATTTAGTTAATACAAATTATAAATATTCAATAATGTAATAAAATTAAATAACATACCTTCAAAATTATTATTAATTATTAAATAGTTATTTAAAATAGAAATTTATATATATAGTTATTTGAATATTATGTAAAATACAGTATAAAATAAATGATCCGATAACTTACTATCTATTGTTTTATTAACCACTAAAATCGTGTAGAATATAACAAAAAGAGTTAATCAAATTATGTGACAACATGAAAAAAAAACTACTCAAAATACCTTTATCATTTGGTTCAAGTTGAATATTAAGTGATTGGCTTACAATAGAATCATTATGTCGAACATTGACAGAAACTACATTTTTATTACTTTCATTAAATAAACTTCCATTAAAATTTTCCTCATTTAAAATATGTCCTATTAGATCTAAAGAACATTCACTTTCTTCCGCATTGTCAATTTTCAAACTTTTGTAGTTTGTAGATAGAATAAATACGCGCATATCTATTTCATCATTATCTTCATGATCAGAATAATTATCAGGAGAACTTGAACTACCTGATTGAACTCTACGAGCTGATTTAATTTGAAAACTAATAGATTTATCTTTCCATTCAACTAACTTAATAATATTATTAGGTTCATAGCTTATTGATGAATGATTTGCATGCACAAAAACAATGTATCCTTCATGTAAAGTAAAGGAACTATCGAAAGAATAATTTAACATATCAGGTTGCAATTTAATACTTTTTTTAATATAATCAACTTGTAATTCTCGATTATTTGGACTAAAAACAGATAATTGAGAAGGTTTTCCGATAACAACCCATGAAATATAACATCCTGTTATATCGATGCTTGTTTCTTCTACTTTCTTTATTATCGCATAAAATCCATTAAAATCATATAGTCCAAAATTAACATAAATTTCTTCCAATCCCTTCGATTTTGATTTATCTTTTGTAAATATTGATCCAAATACTTGATAATTTTCACTTTCAAATGGCGATTCAAAATCAATACGTTTGTAGTGATCTTCATTATTAATATTTAAATCCTTTAAATCAGTAATTCCTGTCATTACAATTCTATAATTATCTTTTAATATATCATCGATTTTTCTTTGTTGCTCAACTCCAAGAATCTTATAAAGGGGAATAATATTATCAAATTTAACAATTTCTAGATTGTTATCAGTGGTTTGAATCCAATTATGTAAGTTATTTTTTTCAACAACCCTTCCCTTTTGAGTTAATAGATATGAAATATTTAAATTATCTAACGACTCAAGTATTTTATTATCATCATTAACTTCGCCAAATGTATTAGGTGAAGAGAAATCTTGTAAAATATTTTTAAGGCACCTTCCTAATACAAATCTTTGTGGAAATAAATGACCGTATTCATTAAATACGTCTTGCAAAGTTTTCAATGGCTTCATATTATTAAGTGCTTCTTCTATAGCTTGCTCAAATTCTTCTGTAGGCTTTATACTACCTGCATTTAAAAGAATTTCACGTTTCTCACATTTTACTAAAACATGATTACAACCTTTATAACTTTGATCATCATTCTTAATAAATGGGAAAGTGCTTAAATTTTCAATTGAAAAAATATGGTTGGAAAACAAAGTAAATTCTAGTTTTGTTGACGGTTTGATTAATTCCAAATAAAATTTATTAATAGAATTGACTTCAGGAATTTCAGTGATGTTAATGGGAACTTTCTTACTGATTTCTATTTCGTCATTTTTATTTATTATTAATCCTTGAAAAAGGTTGATATTCCTGGTCCAAATAATTAAATTATCATTCACAGCATCTTCAACCCACTTTTTTAAGCTTAACTTTTCTTTAAAATTAACGACTCCAGGTTGTTTTTCTTTAAGAATTTCAGGATCACTGTCTACTAATGATTTATGGAGTCTTAATTGAGAAATGGAAACGAGGTTATCATAAGAAATTATATCAACCTTTTTTTTTTGATATAAATTATTCATCCAATTTACTAAATTTTCATGAGTATCTAACCTCTCCCCATCCAACGCTACTAATTCTGGTAAAAGATTCAAGGTGACTAAATTACTGAATTGGATTTCCGTAGAATATTTAGCCGAATAATACACACACAATAAATAATATTTTAAAATATCGATTTGTGTTGGTGCAGCTAAATTAAAATTTTTAATAAATAATTTACCACCAGCTATAAACTTTCTTGCAAGATAATCTCCATACAATATCTTTTCATCATTTGTATATTCTAAAAATGATTCTAACAAATTACCATTATAAATGATTTCAGCAACGGGGAAATTAATGCATGTGTCCAATTCTAAATCATTATCTTCAGAATTAATACATGTGTATACTAAAGGTTGTCCCTTATATAAATTAATTTTTAATTCGCCATCTTCAGCAGTAACTCTTTGTATGCTTGACTTTATGTCGGTCCCGTTTAAAACTAAACCATGATTTAACTTAAATTGTCTAATTATTTGTTGTGGCGAAGTATTAAATATTTCCAAGGTAATTTTCGCAGTACGTGAACCGTCTATTACTCGAGCTCCATTAATATCGGACTGTAATTTCAATTGATATAAAATTTCGTAAACTTCATTTATTTCAGGCCTCATACTTGGACCAACTTTCCAACACTGTTGATAAAGTTGTAGATATTCTGAAGGTGTATTTGCAACTGGTTCCTCTCTCTCTCCATTTAAAAGTTTATTTTTTATATGATCTAAATCAAATTCCTTTTGCGTATAGTCAAAAAATGGAGGACGTCCGCTTGATAACTCCCATAAAAGAACACCCAAGCTATAAATATCAGATTTCATATCTCGCTCATAACTTGGATTACGAAGATACTGTGGTTCAACATAAACTATTTTTTCAGATGCAACTTCTGCCGCTTGTTTGAGTATTTTTAAGTCCGCTATCATCACTGTACCATTATTAACTAAGACGTTGAACGCATGCTTAATGATTGAACAATAATCAATATTAATGAAGGTATTAGATAACCAAATAATTAATTAAAAAATCTAAAAATCTTACCAAATTTCCATGAACTATTTTTTCGGAATGTAAATACATTAACCCACGAGTAATATCAAGTGCAATTTGTAATTTGTCGCCCCATCGTAATGTATACTGTTTGGTTTTCAAATAATCCCTCAAATTTCCTTTATTTGCATATTGCAAAACTGAAAAATAATTGCCATATGAGTCTATTATATTAAAATTTAACATAATTGGTGAGATAATCAGAATAAAACGCAATAAAACTTTATTTTAAATTAATAGATTTAAAACAGACCTCTCGTCAACCCGAGAAAATGATTGATGTTTGAATGATCAATTTTACGTAAAACTTTTAACTATTTTATTAAAAAAAATTAGTAAATTTCTTAATAATTAAAGTTAAAATAATTCATACCTTGGCAACAAATTCTATAAATTCGCTTTCAGAAATTTTTGAATTATTCAAATTTTTTAACACAATAATAATTTTTCGACTCTCCCAATTTGCTTTTTTTAAGGGTTCATGAGTTCCATGAATTATTTTATCAATATTTTCTAGATTACTAAATTCATTAAAATCAGAAAAATCAATATCTTCCCCAATAATAATCTTTTCATCTACCCATTCTTTCAAAAATTTCATTATGAACTATTTGTGATCGGCACCCGAAATATTTTGATCAACGTTTTTTTTTTTTTTTTTAAATAAATATTTTTCAACCCTAAATTTTTGTTGACCAACCCAAACTTTATTTGCCGTACACAACTATACATGTGACTATCAAAATCATCAACAGTGTAACGTTGATGATAATTAGGGAACCAATTTATTGTGATACGTTAAACAAGCTTTTATTTATATGAAGTAAACGTAAAAAATTTTTAATTTTAAAAAATGTCTTCAGAAAAAATTATAGTACTTATTAAAATTATAGGAAACTCATTATTACAAAGTCCTATTCTTAAAATATTAAATCCAGATGATTATTTATCTGATATTCGTAAAGAACTTGAAAATGGTAATATCATTAATGATATGCTATTATTTTCAAAAGAAGTAAATGATGAATTCGGTGAGATGAAACGTGAAGATGAAGAAAATTTCTATTTGAAAGATATTATAAAAGTTGAAGATGATGATCAAAATATTTTATATTTAAAACGACTTTATTGGAAATATTTGAGTAATCAATGTAAACTAGATTATGGACGAATTATGAGTTTTGATGGAATTAAAATAGCTGAAAAGCAAGCATATACGATGAATGAATGTGAGTTGAATGAAATTAATAGTTATAAAAGAGGTCGACTTGAATTTGAGTCAAAAGAAGATTGGATGAAGAAAACAAATTTATTTGTTAATGTTGATGGAATTAACGTAACGAATTTTGCAAAGTTAGGATTATCAATTGAAGGTTTACGAAATAAGAGTTTTAGTAAAGAAATTATGACAGCTTATCAATATACAGAAATCGGTAAAGTATCATTGAAATTTAGTAAATCAAATTTGAGAAGTTTAAAATTAACTGACGAATTTAAAAATGATTTGATTGATGCTATACAATCCAATGATCCTAAAAAATTTGAAAAAATTACCAAAGAATATGGTCAGTTCATCCCAACTGAAGTTATTTTAGGGGGAAGAGTTTATTTTAATGACATTAAAAAGTCATTAGATAATTCTGAAGACACTTTTAATGGTGCTTCTGGAAGTATAAGTGTTGGATCTTTAAATACTAGTATAAAGTATAATTCTGGCGATTCAGAGAAAACTTCAAAATTCTATAGTTTTAATCGTATGGGATTACTTGGAGGAAAACATTCTGATGATGAAAATTTTGATGAAAAAGATTGGATTGAATCTTTGAAAGATTATCAAAATTGGGATTGTATAGAATTCAAAAATCCCATAAGCATTTTTCAACTCTTGTCTGATGATTTACCTGATAATTTACAGGATTTGCGTAAAAGAACCTACCAATCTATCGGAAAAAGAATCCTATATACTAGTATTGAAGATTGTGATTATTATTTAAATGAACCTGGAAGATATCGAACTTTTGAGTTACAAAATATTCCACAAAATAACTTAGAAATGATTCAAAATGAGGAAGCAGATTGTGATATTTTTGCATCAGTTATTGATACTAATGAGAATTCAAAAAATGTTTTTTTTGACTGTCACATTCTTAGAAAACCAAAAACAAAACCAAGTATTATAATTCATGGTATTCAAAAAAATTTTCAAAAACATAAATATAACTTGAGAATTAAGATAATGGTTATTGGATATGATATAGATTTTAATTTCATACTTCCGGATACTATTTGTGTTGAATTAGTAAAAACTGTTTACGATCCACAAATTCCCTGTGAATTTCATACTATACCATTACAGCAAGAACTTGATTCAATGCTTGCAAGTTGTATTCCTTTCTTTGGAATTCCCATATTCAGTAATTTGGACTCTTCAAATAAGTCCATTATCATTGGACATAAGTTTCGTAACACCCAATCAGATAACAAATATAATGTAGATGTGTATTCTTATTGTGTAAAAAAAAAGTGTTTCGATATATTACCACAATTCACTTTTTGCACACTTTATATTTCTAATTATCCCACTTCTTCTAGTTCTTATGCATCACTTCCTTTTAAATTTAAATTATTGAAAAGTCCATTTATAGATCTCAATACTATTAGTATAAATCCAAAATGTGTTAGTTTATATTTATCAAAAAATAACAATTATAAACCAATGTTTTTGAATCAAAAAGTTAACCAAATTAAGATAAAATATCTCAATTGTAATTGTAAGAACACGTGTTTTGTTTGTAAGAACAAAACATTAAAAATATCCAAAAATGAAAGTAACGTTGAATGTGTATTATTTAATTATTCATAAGGTATTGCTTTTATTGTTTATTACAATATTTTTATTATTAGGGGATGAATATGTACATAATTAATTATTAAATTAATTGGATTTTTGGCTTATATTTATTATTTCATAAAATAGCAACTACTTAAAATTCAGATTTCATACATGTTTTATTAAGATCGGTCTTGGGACCGATGTCGGTCCTCACACCGGTCTTTATATTAAAAATAATCTATATACTAAATAAAGTAATTTAACTAACTGTTAGTGCGCATCTTATAAGAAAGACCAATTTTATAATTCGTTTTATTTAATTTGCACTTTGTATACTTTATTAGAGTATTTTCGATATGTTAGCAGTATCCGACTGATAATGATTTGCAAAAATATATATTGTAAATCTGACATTATAAATCTCGGATAAAAATACATTTTCCACGATTTTATAAACGCGTTTATATACATTAGTGTTTACTTTTAATTAAGTTTATTCTCCAAATGAATGAAAAAATCTTGACAGCAAAAATCCTAATTAAAAACTATCTTGAAAAATTTTTTTTTTTTTTTTAACGAAAATTTTCTTTTTTTTAACTGCTAAAGAAATTTTTTTTTTTCTTTTTAAATTTTTATTTTAATTATAATAATTAATTACTCGCAACCTAATTTTAATTTTATTTTTATTTTTAATCCATGTGAACACGTAACGTTCACGCTACAAATTACAAGAACAAACTATACGTATGTCAAAAGTAATTCAAATCAAAACGTAAACAAAACTGCCAAAATGACAGCGCCACCCTGGTATCGAAAGTCAAAACACACAAAGGCATAAAAAGCATTACTCGCACGCCTAATAATTATTAATGGATAATAGTTATATTTATATCATACATCATGTGACATATTTGAAAAAACCCAGGCGATTTTTTAAATTTTAAAAACATATTAATATTTAATTGTACAAAAAATATATCATTTAATTGTATTTATTATAGTTATTATAATGAAATTTATTTGTGAACATAGTCCAAGTGTAAGCACCGTTCTTAAAAAAATAAAATAAAAAGGAATGTTAATAGCGTTCCTAAATTAAAAGAAACAAAGTTCCCAATTCCCACATATCTCCTCAACCTACTATTCTAAATCCAGGAGCCGTACCTAAAGTAAAAAATCAAAAAAGGAATGTTAATAACATTTCCAATTAAAAATTCCCCTCCCTTCCCATTATACTTACAATTCAATGTCAGATATTCAAAAGGCCGAAGTTAGGAGGCATCCCTAAGAAAAAAAGAAGAAAGGAGTATTAGTTACGCTCCAATTAAAAAAAAGAAGTTCACCAGTTCCCTATTACCTTAATCTCAAAGTCCAGTTTGTAAATTCGTCTAACAATCCTACAAAAAGGAAAAGAAGACGTTAGAAACGTTTCTCCTAAAAAAGAAACAACTAAATACACTTCCCCCCACTTAAAAATAATTTCCCAAAGTTCAGTTCGTATATTTCGTTTAACATCCTACAAAAAAAATTAATAAAAAAAAAAAATTTTTTTAATAATGAAATATAAAAATTACAGTATACAAATTAAAAACAATTCAGTTTAAAAAACTGAAATTTAAAAGAAAAAAAAAAAGGTTTTATAAAAAAATTCCGATAGTACCTACTACCAGACCAAAATAAAAAAATAAAAAAAAAACATTAATATGTTTCTTTAAAATAACTAAAAAAAATTCAAGGAGTCCAGCGTACCAAGAAAATAAAGAAAAAAATGAGTCTTAATGTCCAAAGTAGTATATAACTAAGACTTCCGAAGTCTGAAGTCCGAACTTAATTTTTTTTGAAAAAAAATAATTTAAAAAAAAGACCGATGATCCTTGAATTATTTATTTATTTTATTTATTTTATTTTAAGGCTAGTCAGGAGAATACATTGATAATAATTAGAACTAATAAAAATAATTATAAAAATAACACAATGTAGAAACCGATGATCCTTGAAAACCACGGTCCTTATAAAGACCGATGGTCTTGGGTCACGTGATAAAGGACCGGAAGACTGCGGTCCTACACTCAGTCCGATTTTTTAGAGTGTGGGCCGGAGTCTTTCAGAACTGTTAACCATCTTTAGCCATTGTGTAGGTTCATGACAAAAGTTATTTTTTTGAATATATACTTTTACAATTGAGTGTGCGACAAAATCTGTATAATTAAAAAATTGTTAAGGATGTACATACTACATATGACTGTGGTAGCCAATCTTTAAACTAATATGTTTCCAGGATTTTTTTTATTCTTGATTAATACTAAATTAATTTATTGTACTTTGTTCGCGGGCATTTTCACTCTCTTAGTTGCCGCAATTAACCAGCTATATAATAGTAATTTTTTTATTTTTTGCCGTTTAGATTAGGATCGGTGATCAAGATCGAAATAAATGTGATTTGTGTAATTTTATCAAGTTAGAATAAATAAATAAACATTAATTAACAACCTTACATCAAGTTCTATCCTTTTGCCTAAAAATCCAGATTCCAGATGCTAAAAAAATGGAAAAAAAAGGTTAATTACATAAGCAACAAAAATATAAATACACAATAAAAATGGACATGAACCAACTTAGTATGTGGCAAAATATTAGAAAGACTTACTAGGAAGGGTGACAATAACATGGATTTGTGCATTTTTTTGAGTTTTAAAATGTTCTGCAATATGAAAAATTGGGTTCAAATTTCAAAAATATCATTTTCATCATCAATGGAAATTTGCAACCTCATAGAAAGATGATGTTCTATCAGGCTTGATATCAACTATAAATGTCTGTGTAAAAATATCTTCACCTAAAACAAGTAATTTACCATGATATTAGTACACAGGCAATCGCGATAAATTTGATCTTTGATAAACCGGATTTGGTGTTATTTCAGTTTTTCTCCGGAACTAATTCTATATCAGTTATATCAAAAAAATCTTGATATATCAAATTTTTCCAAATTTGGTGTTAATGTATCCTTTTTAACATACCTTTATATTATTGTAATTTTGAAAAAATGCTTAATTCCAGCCGAAATGGTTAATTTTGACCAGTATTGAAACCAATCATTTTATACCGAAATTCTTTATAAATATTACATACAATTTTACAATTCTTTTTTATTTTAATATTTTAATCAAAGTTTGAAAATAACTTTATTTTTCTGTTATATCTTGATACATCAGATCCTAACATAATTTTCATATAAAATCCGGTATAAGAAGGTTTTTTGATATGTCGGATATCTTGATATACCGGATATTTTTTCTAGAACAAACCAATCCGATTTATCGTGATCGCCTGTATATCAGTATGTCTTATTTAGAGATTTTTGAAAAAAAGAGTAAAGATTTTTAAAAAGAAAGAATTTTGAGATGAATTAGAATTGTTAGAATTATCATAAAAAGTATATTTAATATGTCTATTATAATTAACAGTATAGGATTATGTAGAATTTGATTTATGCTGATGATATATTGATGCAGTTCACATAATTATTAATAATACTGTAATAACCTTTTTGTCCTTTTTGTCCTTCCTGTATCTTAGTTATGTATTTATAAGTTGATATATTGCATAATAATTAATATTCTGACACTTCTTGGTTTATAGGATAAAAATAATAATGATTTGAAGAAATAATCTAATACAAAAGTATGAAATATTCATGTAAAAAAAAATTCCAATAATCTTTATGCCTAAATAATTGAAATATATAATAATATAAATAATTGTTTGATTTTTATAAATTATTTACTATTAAAGTCATAACAGACATGAGTATTAAATTTAACACGTTTTTTATTTTTATTTTTATTAATTGGTTATCAGTTAGGAACCTAAACTGGCGTAGATCATTACATAGAACTAAAAAATCAAAAACTATTACTAAACTACCATCACTAATAACAACCTACTCTAACCGGTGGATCAAATCCAGGAAGAAGGCACTACGTGAAATTAAATGTAACAAAACATGGCACAACAACCACAAGATGACCACTGTCTCCCACATCTCCTTACACACAAGTGAAACCCGTAATCTATAGTTTAAAAACTGAAACCCCTCTTATTGTGCATTATTAAATTTAAGGCAGGAAAATTTCCAATGATCACAAATTTAACATGTTAATAATTTGTTTATTAAATTTTATGATTTTGCATTTAAAAAATATTTCACGAATCTGCGGTAATTCTGGAATTCTGGCCAGAATTAAAACTTACAATTCAAAATTTCGCATAACGCAAAGATTTGATGTCACGCGATTTATAATTTCGTAAATTCAGGCTGGCACTATAGTTTCGATTTTTTATTCGATAATCGAGTTTAATCATCTAAGTTAAATATTTATAAGCAAATAAAAAACAGTAAAAAAATCAATCAACCCTAAAACTAAATTTTAACCCTATAAACTCTCGGTTTAATATTAATTTTATATTCCTTTATAAACATCATGTATACTATTAAATTCCCATTATTTAACTCTTTTAGTTTTAATTCTATTAAATAATTTTTGATTCCTTATCATTCAATTTTCTTTCAAATTTCTTCATACCAAGAATTTTTAAACTATTATAATTTAAAACAATTTTTAAGAAATTTTTTAATTCAATAATATGATTTAAATGAATTATTTTAAACTTATTATGACAAATTCCTTAAATCGCAAGAATTATGATAATAAACTAAAATTAATAGGTATATTATTTTGTTAAATTTATAAATGATTCAGAATTATTTGATAAATAATATTAAATTTTAATACTCTTGCTTTTAAATTTTTTTAAAAAATGGTAACACTGATAAATCAAAATGGGAATCAATTAAAAAAAATAAGATTAGACTTTCAATTAATAATTTGTGTAATGATGTAACTAAATATTTGATCATTAATGATGTGACATTAGTACCTTCAATTATCGCGTACAAATGATAGTTTCTTGAACTTAAATGAAGCAAAATTTAAAATCTCACATTGATTAATAATAAACCTTCACAATTTCAAATCTTAAATTATGTAAATTATTAAAAACTTTTTAAACTAGTATTATTAAAGTTAGCATTTGTAAAACTAAAGAATTCCTTTTAAATTCTAAAGACAAAAAAAAATATTATTTGATAAAAAATAACAAATCACTATCTTAAATATTTTAAGTTTGTTTTACTCTTCAAAGCTTTCCAAAAGTAGTAATATAGACCAAATTATTGGTAAGAAAACATCTTATGAATTTAAGGAAACTAATTATCGTTATTAATTCTCACAAATTTAAAATAAATATTCGTTATATTGCTTAAAAATTCTTGTTCAATTTTATCATTACTATTACTATTGCTTACTAAATTTAATGATAATGAATTTAATTTTGTTAAATTTGAAGTGAGATTTTGAACATTAAAAATTTTTAAACCCTTCACTATAAAATAAATTCTAATTGTTTAATGTTATTTATTTTGACGTAAAATTGATTGATGTAATATTGGATTACTATTATATATTTCATTACGAGATATTAATAAACCTGAACGATCATATCTTACAAAACAACTATTAATTACGAAATCTATTATAGAAAAATTATATTTTTGGACATTCAAATAATGGTTTGTATTCCTCATCCAAATTAATATTATTAATCTGGTTTAATTCTAGTTGATTCTTCAATTGTAAAATTTCTTCTTTATTAAAGCAAAAAATTAAGATCATGATTATCAAACAGCAGTTATATTTATAAAAGGCCGGGTTTGCATAAAGCAAAGGAATCGTTGATTTACTAAAATCAATTAACTAATAAACAATTAAATAACTGTAAAATGTAAAAAATACAATCATCTGTTAAATAAGGCAAAGTCATCTTGAAAATTTAAATGTTTTCACGGAACATCGGAGTAATACTGTAACAGGTGATTGGCAATTTAATCTGATATAGGTACGGTACCAAAATGTGTCTTTTAAGCTGCTTCTAAATTAAATATTTTATTTAATTTTGTTCTTGGACAATTTTATCCACTTTTTCTCTTTTATATTTACATGTTCACTCCATTTTTTTGATTTCTTATGAACAATTCATTCCCTTTTTGTTATTTATTTCAATTGTCCACTTCATTTCAGTTCTTTTATGATTTTTTGTAATTGGAAATTTATTTATTGACTTTGTGTGGATAATTTTGTCCACTTTTTTAATTATTTTGATTCTGATCGGAATTATTTAAGAAATTATCTTTAATCCCGGCCGGAATTATGTTAGCCTTTAAGTAGCACAAATGTTAATGTCACGCGATTTTAACTTGGTTAACGTGACCAGTGACTCACGTGCAGTATCATAATTTGCTAATTTGGGAGAATATTACGTAGCAGACGAAAAAAAAAATAAACTTGTCTTACTATATTTCGTAAAAACGAGGTCAATCTTTTTTGATGGGTGGTGCCTTGTCAATATTTATACTGTACAGTCTTGGCAAATTTAATACTGCTTATTTATCAATTATTTTCTCTTGTATAGGATTAGACAACAATCCCACATTCACAACATTACGTATAAAAAATATATTTTCGGTGAATAATCGTACTAAATGAACGTTAAAATATACAACTCATATTATTTTTTTTTTTTGGTGTATCATTCCACACCTGACAATATTCACGTTAATTTAAATTAAAGAAAAATATGGTAACACAAAAACTGGCTGAATCTTCTGGTTTCCCACTTTTTTTTGTTTTACAACAGACTTTCATGATACTATAGCGACCTTGCTCACCTATTGTTCTAACGAAAGGTGGGTTTCAATATGGGTATTCGGGTTTGATAGATCATAGTTGAGTTTTATACTAATCTTCTATATGTTAAAATGTATCTATATTTCTAAACCACTTTAATAATTAAATATGTAGGAAATTTATTTTTGGCTTTACAGTTATGCATGATTTAGGAGATACCGGATACGTGACGTAACTCGACAATGAAGATAGCCATGTACCATAAAATTTACTTTTTTGGAGAATAAGTATAATAAATAAAATTTTTTAGGAAACAAATTATTAAATAATTTAATATCATTCGAATAATTATTAGTTGAAGTAGTATAAATAATATAAATGTAAATACTCATCCAAGATTTGACTCAGAATAACTAATTTTGCGATCCACTTCAATATTTGTTAAAATAAGTGTAAATTTTACTACTCACATATCCCTTTATTAAAATATAGTCTTATATTACAAAATATTGAGTAATACATAATATTTAACAAATTGCGTTTTTGATTTTGGTTTTAAAATAACTAACAATATAGTAAAAATTTTATATATACTCACCGCTGTCACTGGATATAGTTCAATGAAGCAAACAGATATTTTTTATCGTTGATATTTAAAGTTTCATACCGTGGAAGTCAAATGTTGCTAAATTTTCAGATGATCCGAAATTTCAGATCAATCAGATTTTTTCCATTAAGTAAGTACAAACCTTTTGACGTCATTTTTGTACTATCAATATATTATATTATTTCCCAAATTTAGACTTTTTTAATTAAATTAATTTCAACACTGAATTACATACAAGTTGATTTGTAGTATTATTATAGCTTTGAAAATTAATACATGGTAAAAAAAAGGCAAACTATACTTGGTGTAAATTATACGTGTAACGAGAAACCATCGCACGAGTCAATTTCATAAATAGTTACTTCACACTTCAATATTTTTATTAAAATTTATACTTTCAATGTATTTAATTTATTTAACTCACATGTTTACTATTTAAAGCAAAAATAATTATTGTTTATTCAATATATAATATGAAAAACTACTTATAAATATTCAATTGTGTTTAAAGTTGTTTTCTAATTGGAAAAATTCGATTTTTAACTATAAAGTTATTTGATAATTTGTTTCATTAACAAAATCAATGGAAATTAACGTTAATATACTTGCAACGTTTCATTATATCACTTTTTAATGATTTAGATTTTAACGATATTTTGTAATTTCTGATTTGTTGTATCTTGATTTACCACATAAGGATATATGTTTATATCCTCTTTTATTTTAAATAAATGTAATCATTATTGATAATTCGTTATACATACTATATATTATATATCCCATTCCGTTTTTTTTCATCTTTAATAATATTTTTTTTTTCTTTACATATAAAGTCAAGAATATTAAAAGTACGTTATTTTTTTACATAAAGACATAAAGTTATAAAAGTTCAAAATCTTATATAACTTTTCATTTGAAAAATTTTATAAACATTATTAGACAGAAGATTATCTCAATATAAAACCAATAATAATAATAATTTTTCTTTTACTATTTACAATATATATATAATTCTTATAATATTACTCTTTCAAAATATTTACACCACTAAAATATTTGATCCAACCCGAACTTAAAAATCTGGGCCGGGTCATAATAAGGTTTTTGACCTCCCTTTTGAGTTGGATAACTTTACAATATTAAAGATTAATATAAAATACAATGTAATTTTTTACTTTGTTGTAATTTTATAACATATTACATACAATTCATTATATTTATTTTTCATATAATTTTATAATAATAATACTTTATTTAATCATAAAAATACATTCCAATAAAAATATCATATCTGTAATAATGTTAAAGAAAATAAATAGTAAATAATAAAGAAATTTATACCCTTCCTTTCTTTTATTCAGCTGCTTTTATCTATAAGTGAAAAATAAACTATTAAATAATATTATTAATAAAACAAATCATATAAAAAGTTTAATGAATATAAGTACCTAGATCTAGTTTAGTAAAATCTATTGCTTCTATTGATTCTATAATATAAAAAAAATAATTATATACATCAAATAAAATATTTAAAGAATGCTTTTGTAAAGTAAAATAGGAAAATAATTACCTGAATATTCTCCAAATGAATTATCATCATCCTTGTTATCAATAGCATTTTTTGGTTCTGGAAGATTTTTAAAATCTAAAAGTCTACTCGTGTAAACTGCTTGAGGATTTGTAGTATATGAAAGAGTAGGTCCAGTATATAATGATGATGATGATGTCAACTTTTCATTAATTTTTTCTGCTTCTTCAACTTGCTCATCGATTTCATGGCTTGATAAATAACTTGGACGACATAAATTATTTAATAAATCATATAATTCATTTGCTTTAGGTCGTTTTAAAGGATCAGCATCCCAACATTGTTTAATTATGTTTAAAATTAATTGGGGAATTTTGTAATTTGATTTTGGCCTAAGTCCTTGACAAATGCTAATAGCTAAGAATTTATCATGAGTAATATCATGATAAGGAGGAAGCCCTGTACAGACTTCATATGCAATAATTCCAAATCCATAAATATCGCTTTCTTGAGT